TGACCCAGCCTTGGTGGAGGCTGTCGTTTGGCTCTCCTCAGTTAGGAAATGCTCTTTGGTACTGGGGAAACTGAGCAATTTAAGTGGCCATCTGGCTTAGCTGCTGCTGTGTTGTGGGGTTTGTTTCCATTCAGACTCAAGTGTCCTAGTAGGATAAAGGCTGAGAGTTCTTGAACCTGGGAGCTGGTGTGGTGAGGGTAGGAGAGAGCAGAATATCCTCAGTTTGCCAGCGAGAGCCCAGTGAGGAAGCAGAACTTCAGCTGTAACAAGGTAGCTGTAACCTCGGGTTTATCTCATAGCCATAATTACAAGGAGCATCTGTAGTAGGGTTGTGTCTGGTGGGAAGTGTAAGGGTTGCAGGGCTAGAGTAGAGGGTTTAGAATTAATGTGTATGGTGGTGATGTGTATGACAGTAAATTACCATGGTTGTTGGTGTCTGTTTCTTACAAGCATATTTAATCCATTTTTAAAGAAGAAAAGGTGTTTTCATACTCGGGATCAGGGGTTTATTTTTATTTAGGCTGTGTAGGACTCAGTGGATCACCAGGGTCGGTCCTTGAGAGTTTCCCTCGGAGGTCTTTGGTTTAGTTTCAAGCGATGCTGCTGACTTAGCCGACAGTGGTCCTGTTCTGTTCGCATATAACCACTCCATAGAAACCAGATCAAAAGCTTGCCAGAAAAAGGTGAAAATGCTGGAAATGATTTTGATGACCTCTTTTTCTTTTTTTTTTTCCTTTGTAAAGCTGTAAATACTTTCTTTTTGTTTTCTATTCTTACTGCGGTGTCATATTGACACGTTTTTAGACTTACCGATCCGAAAATCCTCCTCATTGTGTCTCATTTTTTACACGAGGATTCCAAGGAAGCAAATTTTTTTGCTTGTTAGCAGTGTACTACTCGACCCGCTTCCTAAACTGGGTTTGTACGACACAACTGTTTTCAGTACACAAACGGCAGTTGCTTTTGTGGATGCATGTTCAAAAATGTCCAAAGAATACCGTGGTACAGATGTGTTTTTTCAGAGACTTAGTAATTATCATGTTAGTTCACACGAGTTAAAGACAAAACTCTTTAAAGGGGGGGAGGGATGTAGTGGAACTCATCGAAGCTAAATGTGTATTCTATTTATAAAGTCCCACTATATAGTCTATTTTTATTAGAGGTTTTTAAAGTGCAAACAGAACTCTGTCAGCAAATGCAATTATTCCCTTGGAAAGTATCTCCTGCTCTGGTGGGGCTCCAAATTCTCTAGCGGTTTCAAGCGCTAATGTGGAAACAATACGACAGGTATGGCTGTGAAGCACTTGCCCATCGCTTCCTCGAGCAAGGGGGTGGGAAGCAAACAGTTAACAGCTTTGCTGCCACTGCGGACTTATTGCTGCTGTAAAAACACCCATTGTGGTGTTTTTCCCTTCCCCTGATTTCGAGGGGCTCTGCTGTGAGGGTAAGAACCTCTGTCTGCTCCTCTGAATACCGGGGGGATGAGAATCATAGACTCCCAGAATGGTTTGGGTTAGAAAGGACCTTAAGATCATCCAGTTCCAACCCCCAGCACACTGGGTTGTGCCACAACTGGCTGTGGCACAGCAGTTTTAAATCCTGCCCCAGAGCATCTTTTGTGTTCTACCTGGCTGGAAGATAAATGGTGTTTGTCCCCACGTAAATTGGAATTAACTTGATGAAACAAAATAATAGCTCAGAATTGTGCCTGAATCTACTTCTAAAGCTGCTTCTAATCTGAGATCATTTTGAGTAACCATTCTTGCCAGCAAAAGCAGACGTTGGGTCATTGGTCCAGGCTTGGCAGAGGGAAAGCCGCGGCCATCGGGGGGTGTGCTCACAGCCTTGCCACAGCGCTGCTGCGGTCTCTCTAAAGCAGCGATTTCCTTTTGTTTCCCTTGGCTCTGGAAAACCGTAGCAGAATGTTTGTGTTGGAGCGTGCAGGAGGAGAGTTGCAATATTGGGAAGTCTCCGATTGTGTTTCACATTTGAGTGCTTCGTTTTAGAGCCAAGTGTTTAAAAAGCATGATTTATCACAGCAAAACGAACAAATCATAGTGCTTCCATTGTTAGTCATACCCTGATGAGGATTTTGCATACGTTTCTTCAGGACTCTGGTTCTTTTTATTCTTTTGCACTGGTCTAGGACATGGTTGCAGGGGAGCACACAGGTTTGACAAAGCTTTGCCTTCAGTGTTCAGTCACTCAGATTTAAGCTTTTCGTCGAATCGAACTTCTGTTTGACTTTTAAAAGAGAAAGCAAATTGCCGGCCAAGGCAGCTCGTAGTAACCTGGTGTTAATAATGCTGGTTTTAGAGGTGAACGAGAGACACAACCTGCCAGATTCTTAATTCAGTCCCTTGCCATGCTGATTCTGGCGAGGGGAGCACTAAAGGCTCGAACACAAGTCTCTGGCAGAGCAGTGAAAGCCACTTGATTTGTTCCCTTTTGTCTGTTTTTGTGTGTAGTTCAGTGTCTTAAGACCCTTCCGCGTTTGCGGGAGCCTTTCAGAGCTTCTCTTTTGAAGAAGCAACAAATTGTGTTTAAGCAGTGGGTATTTGCTGCTTCTAGAACTCAATTCCCTCCCGAGCTGAGGCACTCCAGCAGTGAAGCAGTTCTGTGAGCTGAGATGGGGCTCGCGGGTCTGGCTCACTCTTATCTTTGGAGGAAATAATGATGATGATGCTTAAAACCAACCCCCAGGGTGGCTTCAGAGCTGTGTCATAGCGATGCAGAACCCTCCCTGGGTGTGGGCTGCCCAGATGTCATCTGAAATCCTGCAGTTTTGTTTAAATTAGAGAGGGTTGAGGATGGTTAAAAGCTGGGTCACTAAAAACACTTCTTGTGTAACGTGATTTGACCAAAAGACACTCAATTCAGTCCTTAAGCATCTGTGGCTAAAGCGTATGTTAGCTGAGTTCTGCCCAAAAGTAATGATTATTTATTATTTAAGGTGTTTAAGTGGAGGGTATTGATGCCTCTTTCCCTTTGCTGTGTCACTTCTCATCAGTTCCTCTGAAGTCCTGTAAGACTCTCTTTTTATACACATGAAAACAGACTGCTATCAGTGTGGAGATGAACCTGTTTACCGTTACTGGTGTAAATATAGTGCTTTGTATTCTGTATATTAGCTTCTTTTCAAGAAAAAGACTGAACTTGATGATGCTGTTTGATCTCTGGCGAGGAAAGGACGGAGGATGAACCAGCTCCCAAGCTTGCTCCGGAGTCGAGCTGCAAATCGATTCCCTCTGCGGCTAGAAGCCTGTGCTGGGTGCTTGTGAGCAGACCCAGTGGAACACGCACTCACTGGAGGGGGATTTTGGGCCATCAAAGGCTTCCAAAACCTAATCCACTTTAGGTGAAGCACCGAGAAACCCCCGCAGCAAGAGCCAGAAGCACTCGTGCTCCTCCGAGTTCCAGCGGATTATCTCCATCTTCCTTTTTTCGTGCCAAAACCGACCTCACCGACCCCTTCCAGGTCTGCTCCCTGCTCCGCTCTCCCATCCTGTGTCCATCCGTCCTCATCCGAGCCGTTCATCCTTCAGTGCTCGACCCGTCGCTCGCCGTACCCCCCCCCACCATGGGCTTCTCTGTGCAGAGTGCGTGTGATGGAAACGGGTCCCAGTCATGCTTTGGTGATGAGGGAAAAAAAGGACAAAAACCTCCTAAAATAAACCTGGAATTCCTGGTTAATGGCTGCGTGTGCTGACGGTGGGGTGGGAAATGCTTTTAAAGCAATAACTGCTGAGGAGGCGGACACTGGCTCCACTGCCCGGGGGTTGGGCAGGTGCTGTGGGGTCCCAAACTACTCCCAACTCCCCCCAAAATATTACCCCACACTCCCTCGAAAGTACCTGAACCCAATACCCCAAAGATCAGCTGCCCCTCTTAAACTCCTGCTTTTCTGCTGGAGCTAAACCCACTCCCTCCACCCCCAGCCTCCTCCTGGCCTGTGCCCCAACCGCGTCCCCGTTTTGGGGTGAAATCCCGTTTTCCCCCTTCCCCGCCCCCGATTTTGCGTCCTTAAGCGGGTGGCAGCAGCTGCTTCATGCTCCTTTGCTCTCTCCACGCAGGTCCGAGGCTGGGACCTTCCTCCGAAGCCGCCTCCTTCGGGTCCTTTATAATTATTATTAATTATTATTAATTACTTATTTTCCCTTTAATTAACGAGTTTTACCCCACTCCACCGCCCCGCCCTTTCCCACGTGCCGCGGCGCGCCGCCTCCCCATTGGTCGGACGCAACCACCGCCTCCTATGGGGTGGAGGGAGGGGGGGCTTGCACCACACAGGGCGGGGGGGGGGGCTGGCACCGCACACACGGAGCAGGGGTGGGACCCGCGTAGCCCCGCGCACCGGAGCGTGCGGGAGTGGGGCCGCTCTGGGAGCGACCCGCACCCGCTCCCTTGGGTGTGCATCTCCTGTTCCAGTGGATGCGCTTGGGGCGTCCCGTGTGTGTGTGTGTGTCCCCCCCCATCTGCGGTGGTGTGGGCGCGGCCGGGGAGCGCGGCGGGGCCGGGATGTGGCGGGCGCTGAGGGGCGGCGGGTGAGTGACGGGACCGGGCCCCTTCCCCTTCCCTTCCCCTTCTCCTTCCCGTTCCCCTTCCCCTTCCCTTCCCGTTCCTCTTCCCGTTCCCCTTCCCCTTCCCTTCCTTTCCCTTTCCCGCTGGGAGCAGCCCAACCCCGTCCCACACCGGCTCCCCGGACCCCTTCCATTCCCGCCGGGGCTCCCTTTGGCTGCCGCAGCCCTCGCTGGCTCCCTTCCCGCTGCCGAGCTCCGCCGTTTCCTCCCCCTTTTTCCACGCCTTTTTTGGGGGCTATGTTGCTGAGATCCGCAGGTTTCAGGCGCGGAACCCGCAGCCCAAGGTCCAGCCGCGCACCGGAGCGGGCAGCAGGGACCGGGTTGGCTTTTGCCCTCTGGACTTAACCAGGAGCTGGCAGCGCGCTGGGGTGCGGGAGCAGACAGCGGCTTTCCCTTGGGAATTCGGCGTCTTGCAGGGCGCTGTGGCTGGTGGCGATGTCCAGGCTCGGTGCCTGGCTCGGGCATCGTGATGCAATGGGCGGATGGAGCTCGGGAACAATAGCACGGGGCTGTGCCTGGGCACGCGTGGCCGGGTGGCACCAGGAGCCAAAGCCACGCGTTGCTGGGAGGCCGGGGAGGAGGGAACCAGCGGGGTTCGGTGTCTCCTCTGCCTCCTGTCCCAGGCGGAGGTGGCGGCACCACTCGGCCATCACGGTGACCAACGAGCCCGTCCTGGAGTTTAAGGCAGGGAGCCCCGAGCGAGCAGCGCTGCAGAAGGTACCAGCCCACGGGATGGGGCTTTTGGGGGTCTTAAAGGAGCACGCTCCTCCCTGGTGGGGGCGAGCCCCGTCCTGTTCCCTTTCCTTTTCATAGAGCCATAGAGTGGTTTGGGGTGAAGGGACCTTAAAGCTCCTCCAGCTCCAGCCCCTGCCACGGGCAGGGACCCCTTCCACTAGAGCAGCTTGCTCCAAGCCCCTGTGTCCAACCTGGCCTTGAGCACTGCCAGGGATGGGGCAGCCACAGCTTCTCTGGGCACCCTGTGCCAGCGCCTCAGCACCCTCACAGGGAAGAGCTTCTGCCTTATCTCCAACCTGAACTTCCCCTGTTTCAGTCTGAACCCATCACCCCTTGTCCTATCACTACAGTCCCTGATGAAGAGTCCAGCATCCTTGCAGCCCCCTTCAGATACTGGAAGCTGCTATGAGGTCTCCACGCAGCTTCTCTTCTCCAGGCTGAACAGCCCCAGTGTTCTCAGCCTGGCTCCATACAGGAGGTGCTGCAGCCCCTGAGCATCCTCGTGGCCTCCTCTGGCCTTGCTCCAACAGCTCCATGTCCTTACGTTGGGCACACCAGCACTGCCCACAGTGCTGCACGTGGGGTCTCACCAGAGCAGAGGGGCAGGATCCCCTCCTCTGACCTGCTGCTGACACTGCTGGGGATGCAGCCCAGGATAGTTTGGGGACACTTGGATTTGTAACTCCCATCCCTGTCCCTCCAGCCCGTGGACACCCAGGCCCAAAGGAAGCTTGTCCCCAGCTTTCCCTTTGCTTGTGGGGCTGGCAGGGAGGACGGAGGGAGAGGCAGGTCCATGTGTGCAGCTCCCCCCATGGTGCTCTCCTCCATCAGGCACTTGCTGACCTGAAGGGCAAGACAGAAGCCATCCCATGTGTGATTGGGGGAGAAGAGGTGTGGACACCAACGGTGCGGTACCAGCTGTCGGTGAGCATGGGGGAAACCTGCTTTAACAAGTGGGATTGGACAGAGGGATGCACCTGAGGGATGTACCCATGGGAGGGAGATCTATTGGATCGGTAACTGTGGGCTCTTCCTCTCTTTTCAGCCATTTAACCATGCACACAAGGTGGCCAAGTTCTGCTATGCCAGCAAGGTGAGTGCACTGGGTTGTGCCTAGGGATGGGTGGCCCCTCACTTGGGGCCATGATGGGTTCCTTCTTGCTGCCTTTCCCCTTCTCTCCTGCAGGAGCTCATTAACAAAGCCATTAATGCTGCCTTGGCAGCGAGGAAGGAATGGGACCTAAAACCAGTGCAGGACCGGGCGCAGATCTTCCTGAAGGCAGCTGACATGCTGAGCGGGCCGAGGCGAGCTGAAGTGCTGGCCAAAACCATGATCGGGCAGGTCAGGGGGATGTGGGATTGACCCCGTGGATAACGGGTGCATGGGAGGGAGTGTGGGGAGCAGGGAGTCGGGAAGCAGGGCAGGGGTTGCTGCCAAGGTATTGCTCGGCAGTGGGAATGGGTGTCATGTTAGAAGCACCTCTGGGTGTACTGTGGGGGGATACAGGCTGACTGTGGCCTCTTTGCTGACAAGGGAGGTGAAGCTGGGAGTTGGGCTTCATGGGAACAGGATCAGCTCATGGTGGGCTGCAGGGATCAGGGTTCACCCCTGCACAAGGCCCTGGCTGCCCCAGGAGATGCACTAAAGAGCAGTGGGGGAGCACGAGTGATGTGGTGTCCCCAGGCACAGCCAAGGGTGGTGTTTGCCTCTGCTCAGTGCAAAGGAGGGGGCTTGCAGGAGGCCACGTCTCCCAGAGGCAAGCACGTGGTGTGCGTGAGCTGCACTGCAGCTCATGCCTCTGCATCCCCCTTGCCTCCTCTCAGTGCCTTTGTCTGACCCAACAGGGCAAGACAGTGATCCAGGCAGAGATCGATGCTGCTGCTGAGCTGATCGACTTCTTCCGATTCAACGCCAAGTACGCCCTGGAGCTGGAGAAGAGCCAACCCATCAGCGTGGACATCAGCACCAACAGCATGGTCTACCGGGGGCTGGAGGTGAGGCCAGGGGCTGGGGCTTTTCGTACGCAGGCTGTGGGGTCAGCCCAGTGAGAGGAGGCTCCCTGGGCTCACTGCTCCCTCTCCTCTCCCACCGCAGGGTTTCGTGGCAGCCGTCTCCCCCTTCAACTTCACAGCCATCGGTGGGAACCTGGCCGGGGCTCCAGCACTGATGGTGAGTGCTGTGGTGGGGTCTGTGCAGGGAAAGGCTGGAGCAGGAGCTGGTCTCTCCAGGGCTGCAGCTTGCCTGGTCTGGGGTCTGCAAGGGGTGAATTCAGACTCCGTGGTGCTGTTCAATAGGACACGGTGGGGCTCCTGCTCCTCTTGATCCCCTTGAACTCCACAGCTCTGCTGCAATTAGGCTCAGATATCTTTGATTTCAAGAAGGAATTCTGATGGCTGGATCTTAGACCTGTCTACTGATGGGCAGGTGTGATGTGTTGGAGGAGGACAGACTGCTCAAGCCTGGCTTTTTGTTCTGCAGCAACTTGGCTTTCCACTCCTAGGCTGGGGTTTAGATCAAGAGGAGGTCTCATGCTGCAGGAGGGAAGGGAGATGAGCAATGCAGCAGGGGGTTGTTTCCTTGCGTGCTGCTTGCTCTGTGACCAGGGTGCTGTTGTGGCACGGAAGTGTGATCCCTGTCATTGCTCAGGTTCCTCTTGGACCATGCTTTTTGGGTACAGTGGGGGTGCTGGGAGCAGGTCATGGCCCTGGCATTTAGCACTGAACTGGGAGACAGCTGATCCTGGCAGACATGAGAGATGGTCCAGAAAGATCAAGGTAACAACCGATGTGTTCCACCACAAGGTGCTCACTGAGCACGGGGAGCAGCTGCCCTTGCAGGGTGAGTGCTGGGGAGAGACACCCATAACCGGATGAGTTTGGGCCAGGATGCATTAATTTACATGGAAAGGAATAAAGCACAGAATTACCCCAAGCTCTTTACTAGCTAGGCCCAGATTTCATCCTGGCACCAAAGGCAGTCGCTCCGGCAGCAGCCTCCTGGAGGTAGAAGAGGCAGCCATGAGGGGGAACACCAAGCTTTCAATGTGGGGACGTCCCATTTTAAAGCCATAGTCAAGGCAAAGCATTTGAACTTTTGCAGGAGAGGAGTGGGGAGAAGGAAGGGAGAGGGAAAAGCCAGTGTGGGGCTGGGAAGTTTTTTGGGGAAGGGAGATGCATTCCTCCCACTCTGGCATTTGGGGCAGGTCCTTGGCTTTGGGACGTGTGGTGATAAACTCATCCCAGAGCAGATGAACCATGCTGGGGTGGGGCAAGTCCATGCTGCCAGGGCTGTTTTGGGACCCTGCAGTGCATCCAGCTCTCCCTCCTTGAGGATAAGATGAATTCCCACCAGGATGAAATCCCCCTCTTTGGCCAGGGGCAGAAAGGACCAGGCATCACTGGGTGCCTTGAGAAACTCAGTGGCAGTGGTACCTGGCATTAAATGTAGGAGAAAAGGGTACTTAACAGGTGGATGTTAATTAAAACCCCAGTGTTTTGGTCACCACAGCGTGCTTCCCAGGGGATTAAACATTCCTCTTGCCTAAAGAGCTGGAGAGATCAACGCGGGTATTGCCATCGCAGCGTTGGCAGTGGGACTTCCTCGGCACTGGAGCAGTGCTGCTGGGAATGCTGTCACTGCCCGTGCCCTGAGGTAGATTTCCCTGCCTGGGGGTACTTCTGCAGCGTGGTTTGGTTTTCTCACTGTTTGGAGCCAAAGGATTAAGGGGGATGGAAGGAGCTTTGCCTGCACCGTGAGTCCCTGTAGAGGAGGGGGTTGGACCTGGCTGATGTTAAGGTCCTTTCCAGCCCAGCCCAGTGAGTGATTCATTCTATGGTTCTAAAGCAGGTGCCTGGGTGAGGCAGAGTCCAACCCCCCCCCGCCTCCTGCCCCCCAGGACAGTGACCCTGTGGCACGATCACGTGCAGTGGGGCCAGGCAATGAGACAGGGACACGGGGAGGTGTCTGGGCACAGAGCCGAGGGCAGGACGGTGGCGAGGAGCCAAAGGGGTGGGATCCTGCTGCAGCGTCCTGGTGCTGGGTCCTGCAGCCGATTGTGCTGCTGCTTGTGCAGGATTGATCCGGGAGGGAGGGTTTGTGTCACTGCTGGGGCTGGCACAAAGGCAGTGAGTGGCACACACACACACAGAGCAAGTGACGGTGTTTGTGGTGCCATTGCGTTTCCCAACACATAAAGCAGGTCTGTGCTTTGCAGCTCCTCTTTGGGAGGCAAAGCTCTGTGTCCCAAACGAGAGAGGGTGTGGAGGTGGCACAGGGAGCATTGCTTGTAAAGGGAGGGCTTTTGTGCCTTCAGCCGAGCAAGGCAATCACAGACCTTGTCAAAACCAGTGCTGAGGGTGCCCGTTGGTGTGTTCCCATCCCCTGTGTGCTACAGGACTGATGTTTCCCAGGGCGTTTGAGCACTGCACACCCATGCGTGGGCTGAAGCCTTTCCTCCCGTGCTCACTGCCTCCTCTCCCGCAGGGGAACGTGGTGCTGTGGAAGCCCAGTGACACTGCCCTGCTCTCCAGCTACGCTGTCTACAAGATCCTGCTGGAGGCCGGGCTCCCTCCCAACGTCGTGCAGTTCGTGCCGGCGGACGGGCCCGTGTTTGGGGACACCGTCACGAGCTCCGAGCACTTGTGTGGGCTCAACTTCACCGGCAGCGTGCCGTACGTGGGGAGGGGGCAGAGGGGAGAGGGGTGAGGAGCCGCCGGTGCTCACCTGAACATCACCTTCCACTAGAGCAGCTTGCTCCAAGCCCCTGTGTCCAACCTGGCCTGAACACTGCCAGGGATGGGGCAGCCACAGCTTCTCTGGGCACCCTGTGCCAGCGCCTCAGCACCCTCACAGGGAAGAGCTTCTGCCTAAGAGCTCATCTCAGTCTCCCCTCTGGCAGGTTAAAGCCATTCCCTTGGCCTGGCCCTTGTCCAAAGCCCCTCTCCCGGTTTCCTGCAGCCCCTTTAGGCACTGGAAGGAAGTCTCTATGTGATTTAGTAGGAGGGAGCTTCTGTTGCTAAACTCAAGGCACCAAACAGACAAACTTGTCTATGTCGCCACTGCCCCGTCTCCCAGCGCTGCTGTGACTGAACCCACCTCACTGCTGCAGAGCGGTGCCAGCCCCAGGGAGCTCTGCAGCCCCGTGCTCTGCCTGCTCGTCGCGGTGTGTTACTGACACTGAGGGTCCCTGGCAGCCTGCAATGGGCTGTTAAACCGGGGACCAGCGGCGCAGGACATGGTCTGCTGAGCATCGTGCTTTAGAGGTGGGAAGATCAGAAATGAGTGTTAGCTCTGGGCTCCTGCTGGGAGGCTATTAGCATTTTTATTGTTTTCAGCAGAGGGGTTTGTCACAGTGAGGACCAGGAGGAAGGGGGCAAAGGCAAAGGGGACAAGCTTCACCTGGACGCTCACTCCTGTGGCACTGCAGCAGTTTCCTTCTCTTAACTGTGTAGTGCCTTTGGGTCCTTAGGGTCTCACTCTCAGCTGGCATCTCCTCTGCTTGCAGGGCATCCCTTCTAGGGATAGACACAGGGGTTTTCTGGGGTCCCCTTCAGCAGAGCACATCGCAGCACATCTGGTGCCTTTTCCCTGTGCACTAACCAGCTCCTCCTTCCCATTCCAGAACTTTCAAGCGGCTCTGGAAGCAGGTGTCAGAAAACCTGGATCGCTACCGCAACTTCCCGCGCCTGGCTGGAGGTAACTGCCACTTCCCACACCTTTCTGGAGGGGTGGCCATGCGGGGGGGGGGGGGGTTCAGCTTGTCCCCTGATGAGGGGAGAGCCTGAGGTGATGGCCAGGATTCCTCTCCTTGGGAGCAGGGAGCAAACTGTATCCTCTGTGGCCTACAGGGATGCTGGGGATGGACTCTTCATCAGGGACTGTAGTGATAGGACAAGGGGTAATGGGTTCAAACTGAAACAGGGGAAGTTTAGATTGGAGATAAGAAGGAAGTTCTTTACTGTAAGGGTGCTGAGGCACTGGAATGGGTTGCCCAGGGCAGCTGTGAATGCTCCATCCCTGGCAGTGTTCAAGGCCAGGTTGGACAGAGCCTTGGGTGCCATGGTTTAGTGTGAGGTGTCCCTGCCCATGGCAGGGGGTTGGAACTGGATGATCTTAAGGTCCTTTCCAACCCTAACTATTCTATGATTCTAAGCTGGTTGTGTGGCTGTGATGGGCATGTGGAGGAGCTCATGGCACCGGCTCCCACCGGCACGGGATGGGTTTTTATGGTGGGGCACTTGGGAGGAGGTGCCAACTCTGGGATTACAGAGCTGAGGTTGGGAACTCGGCTCAGTCCCTTTCCCATCACGTTTGGAAGCCTCTTGGAGCGCCGGGCTTGCTCTCCCTGGAGGAGCTATGGGGCCAGGCAGGGCGAGCTGCCCCGGCGACCTGGCCGTGGTTTGTGCTCTCCGGAGCCTGCTCACCCCTGCCTGCTCCTCACTGGCCCCTTTTCCTCCCTCCCGCGCTCCAGAGTGCGGCGGCAAGAACTTCCACCTGGTGCACAGCTCTGCCGACGTGGGCAGCGTGGTGAACGGGACCCTGCGCTCCGCCTTCGAGTACGGCGGCCAGAAATGCTCCGCCTGCTCCCGCCTCTACGCCCCGGCCTCGCTGTGGCCCCACATCAAAGAGAAGCTGCTGGAGGAGCACGGGAAGATCAAAGTGGGAGATGTGAGCGGAGCTGCGGGGCTGCTGAAGGGCTCTGCGGCTCAGCGGGGGGCTGATGGGATTAGAGACTGCGGTAACTGGCTACTAATTCCTATTGAACCCAGCTTTTCATCCGCTGGCTCTCCCCGCCGCCGTCCCCCCCCTTCATCTCCTTCTTTATAGTGATTAGAAATTAACTTGTAGCCAGGGTCCGCAGGAGGGATCGTGCAAGTCGCTGAATGCTGCAGACTAATTGAAAAGGGGCAGCTTGTGCCCTGGACCAGAGGTGTGCTCGGGGCGGGAGGGGACGTTGTGTGGGGAATTTCAGCTCCTCCGAGTGCCACGGTCGGCTCTTTGGCTCGCCAGGCACTGACTTCCCCTCTGTTCTTGCTCCCCAACAGCCCACCCAGGACTTCGGGACGTTTTTCTCTGCAGTCATTGATGACAAGGTGAGCTCATCGCTCCTGTTCTGCTGGTGCAAGGAGGTGACACCACCGCGCTTTCGCCAGGGGCTGGGTTAAATGCTTGTGTTGCTTACAGTGAGGTGTGAACATCAGTGATGAGAGCTGCCTCTCAGCCCGCTTGTGCTCCCTCCTGGAGCCCTGCGTGCCTTGCTCACCACCCCTCTTGACGAGTGGGTTGTTGCACTGAGAAATCATCTCAGATGTCAGGATCAGAGTGCCTGGGGCTGTGTTTCCAGCTCCCACTCCTGCTCCTGAGCTGGAGGAGCACTGGGAGCAGCATAGCCCTGAGAGGGGTTGCCCAAACCTCCTTTTACACCCCGAACCCACGCTGCATTATCCCCTTTTCTCAGTCTTTTGCACGGATAAAGAAGTGGATCGAGCACGCCAAGAAGTCGCCCAACCTCACCATCCTGGCCGGAGGCGGCTGCGACGACAGCGTCGGGTACTTCATCGAGCCCTGCATCGTGGAGAGCAAAGACCCACAGGATCCCATCATGAAAGAGGTGAGAGCAGCTTGTGGGGAGGCGGCAGCAAAGGTGTAAGAGGGGCTGCAGGTTCCACCCTGAGATATCAGCCAAGTGTGTGGAGATGAGCCAGCGCCGTATGGTAACTTGTGCAGGGAGTGTAGAACCGTGGAACGGGTTGGGTTGGAAGGGACCTTAAAGCTCCTCCAGCTCCAGCCCCTGCCATGGGCAGGGACCCCTTCCACTAGAGCAGCTTGCTCCAAGCCCCTGTGTCCAACCTGGCCTTGAACACTGCCAGGGATGGGGCAGCCACAGCTTCTCTGGGCACCCTGTGCCAGCACCTCAGCACCCTCACAGGGAAGAGCTTCTGCCTAAGAGCTCATCTCAGTCTCCCCTCTGGCAGGTTAAAGCCATTCCCCTTGGCCTGTCCCTACATCCCTTGTCCCAGGCCCCTCTCCAGCTTTCCTGCAGCCCCTTCAGGCACTGGAGCTGCTCTCAGGTCTCCCCTTCAGGAGCCTTCTCTTCTCCAGGCTGCCCCAGCCCCGCTCTCTCAGCCTGGCTCCAGAGCAGAGCTGCTCCAGCCCTCGCAGCATCTCCATGGCCTCCTCTGGCCTCTCTCCAACAGCTCCACGTCCCTCTTGTGCTGCTGCCCCAGAGCTGGATCAGGGCTGCAGGGGGGGTCTCCCCAGAGTGCAGCAGAGGGGCAGGATCCCCTCCCTGAGCTGCTGCTCACGCTCTGGGGGTGCAGCCCAGCACACGGGGGGGTTCTGGGCTCAAGCACTCACTGAAGCCAGGTCATGGGGAGCTTCTCACTGACCAACACCCCAAGTCCTTCTCCTCAGGGATGTTCCTCTTCATCACGGCTGTAGCTGTTCAGTGCTGATTGGAGGCTGTCCCCGCTCACTGCTCTCTTGTCTTGCTGCACAGGAGATCTTTGGCCCCATCCTCACGGTTTACGTCTACCCGGAGGAGCGGTACAAGGAGGTCCTGGAGCTCATCGACACCACCACCCCCTACGGCCTCACGGGGGCGGTCTTCGCCCAGGAGAAGTAAGTGCCAAAACCGGCTCTGCCGCAGCAGTGAGGATGCTGCTGCCCTTCTGGGGTGAGGTGTCTGTCTCACTGCTCCCCGGCGCCCTGTGCTGCACAGTGGGGATGAAGGAGAGCATTTCCTGCTGCTTTACCCCCTCCTCCCACTGAAGAGGCTGGGGGTTGTTTCTAAAACAACCATAAAAAGCCCCAAAATGCTTTTTCATTGAGAAACTGCCCCAGAGGTGATGCTTGCATCATACAGAAGGGTGCACCACACACCCCTCATGTAGGAGGAGGGCTCGGAGCAGGGTAGCCTCAATGAGGGACCATCCTTAAGTCTCAGTCACCTTCATTTATAGCAGTCAAACATAGAAACAAACTAGAAGAAAACAAACCTGGGATCATTTACATGAGCTCTTAGTGTGTGCAACCTGCTCCAGTGCATGTCAAACCAGCGTGAGGTGTCCCTGCCCATGGCAGGGCGTTGGAACTGGATGATTTTTAGGTCCTTTCCAACCCAAACCATTCTATGATGCTATGAGTGTATAAACAACGTGCAGCCCTGAGACACCGTGAAAACTCACTTTTGGCATGATTTGAATGGCTATGGAAGAGTGGAGGCCTCCACAGCAGTTGCTGTTGGGTTGTCAGAGCTGTTTCTGTCCCTCCTTAGGCGAATCATCGAGGAGGCCAGGAGCTTCCTGCGCAACGCGGCCGGCAATTTCTACATCAATGACAAGTCGACGGGCTCCGTCGTGGCCCAGCAGCCCTTCGGAGGCTCTCGCATCTCAGGTGAGACCTGAAACCCCTGTCCACAGACAGCACGGACCTGTGCGGGGGCACATGGAGCTGCATCCCCTTAAAGGTTCAGCATCCCCCTTAAAGGCGCTGCATCCCCTTTGAGGTGGACCTGGAAGGTCCCCTTATCCTCTAGCTCACGGTCACCTGCACTTTGTTTCCTTCTGAAACAGGCACCAACGACAAACCTGGTGGCCCCCACTACATCCTGCGCTGGACATCTCCTCAGGCCATCAAGGAGACACACGTGCCCCTGACGGACTGGCGCTATGCCTACATGCAGTGACACCTCCTGCTGCCCGGCCCCACTGCTACTACTGATCCTCAACGCACAGAGTGGCCTTGAGCTACGCCCTCGAGAAGCACTTAGATCTACTGATCTCTAACCTGAGCTTAGGGTTTATTTTGAAAGGAAAATTCTATTATTAAACTGTAAATGCAGAAGAGAAAAACCTTGTGGTCCATGTAAGGGTGATGTGTTAATGGATTCAGGGGTGCTGGAGGTGTGTGGTTGCATCCCAGATTCCTTTTGTCATAGAATCCTTGACTGGTTTGGGTTGGAAAGGACCTTAAGATCCAGCTCCAACCCTTGCCATGGGCAGGGACACCTTTCATTAGACCAGGTTGCTCCAAGCCCCATCCAACCTGGCCTTCTGTTTTGTCCATCCCGAGTGGTCCACCGCGGTTCCCTCTCAGTGGGGCTGCAGTTAAAGCAGGAGCTGAGCATTAAGAGGCTGGCCCCGTCCTGCCAAAAGCTGTATCATTCCCTGTGTCCCCGGGGAGCTGCACCAGCAGAAACCATTGGAAGCTGAGGGCTGCCTGAGCCAGCCTTGCTGGGAGTTTTGGGCAGCTGGGCTTGCCCTAAACCACAGTCAATGTGATGGGAGCCCTGAGCTCTGTTTTCTCCCTGTCCCTGAGCAAGGGCAAAGCTCAGACAGCCCCAAACGTTCTTGATGTAGGGAGAGAACCTGGCAGGAGAGGGCAGCTGGGAGTGTGGTGCTGCTTCAGGTGAGTTTAAGTGCCTTATTCCTGTGCTCTGAGGGCAGCAGATGGGGTTCCCTGTACGTTACCTTGCAGATGGTCTTGGTATGCGCAGACATCGGGCAGGTGGAGCAGCAGCACCCCGCTTGGTGCCCTTGTTTCATCACTGGTGAGGAGGTCAGGCTGCCTCCCATGGGTTTTGGCTGCTTCTCCTGCTCCAGTCCTTGCATGTTCACTGCATGTTGTTAAGAGGTGTTTCAGGAACAGGACCCGTCCTGCACAAGCTGCAGCATCCCTCAAATCCCTGGAAGGAATTGAAGGGGAAACTGAGGGAATTTCACTTCATTACCAGGAGGGGCTGGGAAAGCAGCTGGGGGCTGCAAGAATCAGAGCAAGAGGCATCTCCCAGCCCCTTGTGCTCTGTCCAGGGCTGTGCTCTGGCCTGCAGAGCTGCTTCTGACACGGGCACATCACTGGGGCTCTGCGAGCTGCCCTGGTGTGAAGTCAGATCAGTGCTGGCCCCTGTGGTCCCTGTTGCTGTGACCTGTGCAGGGGCTGCCTTGCCATCAGTGCGGTCACACCAATGGGTCCTGCAGTGGGAACAGGAAAAGGGATCTTAGGAACGGTCTGTGTCCTTCCAGGATCATTTCTAATCTAAACCCCTTGGTAACACCTACAATTAATAACTGTTCAGTTACCAGGGTTTGCAGCCAGAGTGGAGAACCCTGCTGTAATAAGCATTAAGTGTGGATCTTGTCCAGGCCTGGGCTGGTATTTAGCATGCAGCTCATGAAGGTGTTGCACTGATAGGTGTGAATTTTGGTTTAACTGAGAAAATCTGCAATAAAATAAACTTTAAACACCTTTGTGGTGTTCTGTGAATGATTTCTTCAAATTGTTGCAAATCCAGAGGTAGATCGACTGTGTTTGGTACCTTCCGTGCATGCATCTGCTAAGAGATAGCACTGAGGCTGAGGACCCCCAAAATAAGCCTTTTGGCTGCACTTCTCATTCCAAAGAGAAAAAACCATAATAAACCAACCCAGTTTTGTGTTCTCCGCTAAAACGAAGCCATTGCCCTTGCACGAGGCAGGTAAGCTCCTAATTCAGTATCATCCAGGTTGGTACAAAGCATCCTTGTGCTGCACACTTGGGAGGGCACCCGGGATCCCATTTCAGCTCCAAAACCACCCCAATCCTTCAGCAGGGAGGAAAGGATTGAACCCACTGGGATCCTTCGGGGAATGTCTCCGAACCCCCCGAGTTCATCCAGGTGGGACCACAGGGATGTCCCATTCTCCAAGTCCCATCCTGCCGCCAAGCTTAGGATAAACCCTCCCCGAGCTCCTCCACTGACACCTCCCAACCTTTCCTGATTGATTTCCATCAGCTCATTTAAATCTCATTAAGGGCTCTGCCTCGCACCCTCTCTCCTGCAGATCCGGAATGCCGCATCCCAGGAGCCGAGCGCCGCTGCCTTTGGCTCACGCCTTTTATGACTTAAGGCCAGAGTGTCAAGTGGATTTTTAGCCTTAACTCTGAATTTCATGGCTTTTTGTGACTTTAAATCTGTCCCCTAATGCTATTTGAACAGTTGCCTTTTTGAAGCTGATAAACGCTTCGGGAGGGGTTTGGGAAAGCCAGGGGCTTGCACAGCGGGACCCCAGGCACCCTCCTGCCCTCTGGGATGCTCCTGGAGCTTTCTGCCCTCCACCAGGATGGGGAAAAGGGTCTCGGGAGGGTATAAAAGCACTGCATGGCCCAATAAGGAGAGGAAACAGGTTTGGAGCATCTCTGGTAGGGATTCAATCCCATTCCCATGCACAGCCGGAGCTGGCCTGGCTCTTGGCAGTCCCCGACCGCATCCCGAAGCACGGGGTTATCCAGCCTCGGAGCCGGGCGGGACCGGGAGCCAGGATCTCACTGGGAAGTGGCAGATTTTCCCCTCTGATAACACCCAGCTCCATCTGCTTCCCGTTAGCGGCCCCAGCTGAGGCTACTTGGCAGATCAAACCCTCCGATGTCCTGTGTTAGGGATGGGGCTGGGAGAGGCCGGCACAAGCATGATGCTGCCTGGATGGAGCCCAACGGCCTTCCCTGGGTGCCATGGGCTGTGCAGGGTGCTAATGCAAACCACCCCGAGCTCTGGGACACTGAGATCTTGGTGAGAGGAGCAAGACTCAGCTTTAAAGCAAAGCAAAGCAGAAAACTGGGGCAGCGTGGACCAGGTCGTTCATGGGGAGGTAGAATGGGAGAGCAGAGGATGGGCAGCAGCTTCTGCCACAGGGAGACCAGCACAGCAGCAGCCACCCGGCTCTTTCAGTCCCAAGAGATGCTCCTGGTTTTCTGGGTAATGCCAGGTTCAACAGGAGAGGCAAGGACCACGCTTCCTATCTAAAGGAAAGGTAACATCTGCAATTCCTTAACACACACATTGGGAATGGCTGTTGATCAGGAGGAGGCATGGGGCTGGAAAACCCCAGCACTACATCCCAGGAGTGAAGGGGATCACCCATCACCTCCGTGCCTGAACACAAGAACTAAAGCGCAGAGGAGGAGCTGGATTTGGCTTACTAAAGGTTGAAGGGAGCCCCAAACCTTCCCCTGATGTCAGTGAATGAGGGCTGACCCCTTGCACCGGGCAGCAGATTGCAGCCACTGGAACATTTGGGGCTCCCTTCTTTCCCATCCTGCCTGATTTCCTCCTGAAGGTCCTTTATCTGGTGTCCTAGGGGCAGATTTCCCTAGGACCAGGCCGTGTTTCAGGCTGGAGAGCAGGTACTCAATGCAATCCAAGAGGCTGGGTTTGCCTCTTGTGGTACCAAGGGGATGCTCGGACTCTGCGTTTTACCTTGTTTCTTAAGGAGAGGCCAGAAGAAACTCATGACACGGATGCTACGGGGGTGTGTGTGTGTGAAGAACCACACAAGGTGCAGGGAAGAGCTGGGGATGGGTGCGGGATGCAGGAAATACCTTTAAAGACGGTCCCAAATCACAGCCCAGCTTTACAAACCCCTCCAGCTCCGCTCGCTGGAAAACTGCCCAGGGCTGGAAACCTTCTGGCCCCACATTTCCAGCCGCGGGGAGCCACGTGCGGGATTTCTCCTCTCTTTCTGCCTTGTATTATTTCCCCTTTCCTTGTGTTCCTGCCGGAGGAATTCCACCGGCCCTGACTCCTGCAGCGCTTTGTGGCTTCGGGAGAGCAGGGAGCTCCGGGGTGCGGGCGGGGATGTTTGCAGTACAAGCGCTTAGCAGCAGATGGTGGTCTTTATCCCGTCCTCCGCAAGCAGGGAAAACCGGCGGCCCCACAGCTCCCACCGCGCTGCAAGACCCGGGTCCCTCATCCCTGGGCCTTGGGACTGGGAGGACTGGGTTGGGTGGGTTTAAACTGGTGGGGAGGAAGGAGAGAGCTGTGGGGTTCAGCTCCAGAGCCCGGCTTTCCCACAGCGCCGATGGGAGCAAGCAGGCAAAGGAGGGAAGGGGGAGAGGGTTTGGGTCTCTCAGCCCCATTCAACAAACAAACCACGGGTTTAAGAGCTGCACAAGTGCCCCCGCTCCCCATCCCCACCCAAAACGCTGCAGAATTATGGGGAGGTTTCTAATATTTAGCATTTTTGCTAAAGCCCCAGGTCCTGGAGTCATGAGAATGCAGCGGGATGTCAGCTTCCAGCTAGGATAAATAAAGAGGGGATTCACATCCCCCAGGATAACACAGCAGAGAAGAAGACATGACCCTACCTCAGGGCCGGAAGAAAATCCTGGAAAAGCAAAAGAAGAGCCCGGGAGGCAGAATGCCCCCCATAGGTCCCGATCTTTGCACAGCCACGCTGCTCGCTGAGCAATTTAACATCAGGGAACCATGGAACGGCTTGGGTTGGAAAGGACCTTAAAGCTCATCCAGTTCCAACCCCCTGCCTCATCTCCAACCTGAGCCACCCCTGTTCCAGTTTGAACCCATCACCCCGTGTCCTGTCCCTGCAGTCCCTCCGGAGCAGAGCACCCCCGTTCCCAGGGCATCTGGGGACACTGGGGTCCCATCCTGCGTGGCCCGGGTGCTCTCTGCTGGCCCCGGACGTGCAGGGGGCTCCGCAGCCGCGGCTCAGCCTTTCCCAGCTCACCCCAGGGAGCGCTTGTCTGGGAGCCGGAATTACCCCGGAGCCAGGCTGCTTGAGCAGAGGAACAGGTGAAGGCTCCGCAGCGGAGCCCGGCTCCAGCCCCTCTCCAGCCGCGGCTGCGAGGGACCCCGCAGGGCATCAATCACCCGCTGCTGTCTGACAGCCCCGCAGCCCGGGGGTGCTTGCTTGGGGATTAGGAGCCAACCCCTGCATCTGCCAAGAGGCTCCTCCGCAGCTGCAGGCTCCAGACCCCCCCATGTCCCCGTCCCCGGCACGGGCAGAGGCCGGGATGAGGCTCGAGTCTCCCTCCTCCATCCGGGCCGTTTGCATGGATCAGAGGAGAGGGCTCCCGCATCCCCCCCGTGCCCGTCAGACCGGCCCCAAGGCTGGTCCTCGCCCTCCCCGCCGTCCCGTTCTCCTCTTGCAGACGAGCAATGTCCCCACGTCCAGCCGCCAAATGCCACAGCATCCTCCTCCTCCTCCTCACGCTCCAGCCTCCAGGGCTGAAGCAAAGCGTGACCCTCACGCCCATGTCCACAGGGGTGGGTGGTTTTCCCTTGAATCACCATTTATTCACACCTATCTGCACCCCCGTCTCCTGGGGGGAGGATTTATCCCCTAAATCCTTCTCCTGTCCCTACAAACTCCCATTCCTGCAGAGCCATCCACCCTCCCGACTTCACAGCGCATCCCCCCCTTCCCTGGCCCTGCGTTCGGGTGCTTAAGATGCATCTGCAGTACCATCTCAGCTGCTATTTTCCATCCTTCAGCGATAAGGCATCTGCATGTACACAGCACCCAGAAAATGACTTACAAACAGCAGCTCCCCCCTGCAGACCCCCCCTCCCTCCTTGTACCAATGACTAGCATCACCACAGAGGCAGCCCCGCGCTGCTGCTGCTTTCAGTGAAGACCTTTCCCCCCATCCCACCCTTTGGTGGTTGTTTTACCCCCACCCCACGTCGTGATCACAGACTGGAGATCACAGACCTGACATTTGGGTGCCTGTTCCGCAGTGCCAGGCAGGCAGAGCTGCTGGGGACAATCGATTGGCCCCGCATCGTCTACGGGTGCCGGCCAAAACACCGCATCAACCCGAGCTCAGCCCTTCCAGCAGCTCCCCGCTTGCTTTTCACTTCCCAGCCTGGGAAAAGATGCAATTCCCCCAAAATCCGGGACACCATGAGCAGGGTTTGGGGCTGGGTGGGAGCATCCCTGCTCCAGGAGGGTGGGAAAGATAAACCCATACACACACTGTCGTCTGAGGGACCAGTTTTCTGCCTGTCCAGGATCGCATCTGCAGCACAATGCAAGCAAAGTTGATCCCAGCCTGATGCCTACCCAAAAGCACGTGGTGGGGTCTGGGGGGCTGGTAGGGAACAGGGTTTGTTTGATTTTGGGTTCCCAGATTTGCTGGGTCAAAATGTTCCTGAGCTTCAGAGGGTGCAGCCTGGTCCTTAGGCCATAGCTTGTGCTCTGATGAGGTCTCTCATCAGGCTGGATGCAGTGACTGCATCTATAGCTGGTTCCATATTCCCTTCCTGCAGGGACTCCCTTCTCACACAGGGATGTGTGGGCATAGAATCCCAGCTTGGTTTAGGTTAAAGGGAGTTTAAAGCTCCTCCAGCTCCAACCCCTGCCACGGGCAGGGACCCCTTCCACTAGAGCAGCTTGCTCCAAGCCCCTGTGTCCAACCTGGCCTTGAACACTGCCAGGGATGGGGCAGCCACAGCTTCTCTGGGCAACCTG